ATGAATATTACAGGCAATGTTTCAATTACAACCTAAAGTTACATATGACTTGCGAGTAAATTACGATATAATTTATGTAATTTACATAAGCTTTTACTTCAAATAATAACAAATCAATAAGGTCATTTCCATATTTAGCTACAGTAATGACTAGCTATTAATCACAAATTATTTATAGTAATCTATTAAAACTATTGCTATTGAATACTAATTTTTAATCTAATTTTATTATTAAAAACAATACAATTTGCATCATAATAAACAGGCAATTATAGATTAGTGACGTCTAGACTGATATACTGTGTCTGAAAATAGTATAAAAATGACACCAAAATACAAATCAGTAGTTGGTTTAGTGGTAAATCATTTTAAAATAGCCTAACAATTTAATAATTACTAAAAATGTGTGCAAAAGTGACAGTTTTTGACAAGCAAAACGACATCAAACAGTACACTATCCAGAATGCAAAGGGGGAACTGGTGGTCAAAATTCTGGACTACGGCGCTATCATCACAAACGTGTTGTTTGTGGACAAGAATAAGAAACAACTGGATCTGGTCTTAGGGTACGACACGTTTGCCGGCTATCAGAGCAAAGAAAACCCACACTTCGGGGCACTGGTAGGCCGGGTGGCCAATAGGATAGCGTTCGGTAAGTTTGAGTTGAATGACACCAAATATCAGTTGGCTTTGAATGACCCCCCGAGACATAACACACTTCACGGCGGACTCATTGGCTTTGATAAGGATATGTGGGCTCTCAAGACATCCTCACCAGACTCTGTCACTCTGGAACTGATCAGCAAAGATGGCGATCAAGACTTTCCCGGAGATGTCAGGTCTGTCCACAAAATTATATAATTTATTAATAATGTTTATAAAGTATTTTATTGACAACATTTGAAACTTGGTTAAATTTTAATTACTGCACATATAATACAATTATTTAAAGTTAGTGAATGAGTGGGCGAGAGAGAGAGAGAGAGAGAGAGAGAGAGAGACTCACATCTAAATAATTAATAGTGTATTAATAAAATAAATAAATACTGTATAATTTTTTAGAAATTCCTACTTATTATTAATTAAAATTTAAACAACTTTGCATAAATTTATTTGTTTAAACTTTAAAGTTTAACTAAAACCAAAATTTGAGAGTTTGTTTCAATGTCTCACTATAATTAAGTGTTATTTACATAGCAAAGTATCACTTAAAATTCTATACATACTTTACCACAAAATAACATCCATTTCCCAAAGGGTTGACATCACATACACGGTAACGGTGGAAAATGAGCTGAAACTGGAATACACGGGTCAACTGACACCGGACTCGCTGAAGGACACTGTCATCAATCTGTCCAACCATTCCTACTTCAATCTGAACGGCTGTACCGACGAGTCGGCTATCGTGGCGCTCAACCATAGGGTGCGTATGAATGCCGACCACTTCCTCGAGTTTAACGATGAGTTCATACCGGACGACGTGGTCATGAAAACCAGTGCCGCGCCGGCCATGGACTTCACGGGCGCTCAACTCAAACCCCTGTCCGATCGCATACCGAAGCTGATCGCCGGCTACGATCACTGCTATGTTGTCAACGGCTCGACCGCTGATGAATGGACTATAAAGGGTGGCAATCAGCTCCGGGAGGCTGTGGTGGTTAACTCGCCCACCACTGGCGTTACGATGACTTTCTCGACAACTGAGCCGTCGTTTCAGTTTTATTCAGCCAATGGTCTGAACGACACGTTTGTGACGAAAAGCACTCAATCGGCGAAACCCATAAAACTGGCCAAATATGCGGCCGTCTGTATAGAGGGACAGCGATATGTCGACGCCATTAACCACCAGAAGTGGAGGAATCAAGTGATTCTGTCACCCAATCAGACCTACAAACAGACAACTGTTTATAAGTTTAGTAATCAATAAGTGGTAATAAGTTGATACACTTTATAAAACTTTTGGTATATTATACCAACTTTTAAATGTATTTGATAATTGTTTTATATAAATATTTTTAGATATAATTATTTTCAAATAATTTTATTACTCAATCCATTATTTACAGTATAATCTTTATTATAATTTTTAAAATTCTCATAAACTTCTAAATTGTGTTAAAATACTGTATATATCTTACGATATACTGATAATAAAAACAAACATTATGTTTTAAATTCTTGTTCAAAAAATTCTTGACAATGTGTTGTCAATTGTGAACTCATTTTAGTTTAATCTAGAAAAATTCAAATCTTACCTTAGATAAGACATAACATTGGTGTTATTTCTAAATTGTGTCCTAAAATACAGTAGCAATGAATTTATAATAATCTAAACCTAATCATATGTTTTAACTCTTCAAATAAAATTTATTCCCACAAATTATATCAATATAAATGATAAATAACAGATAAAATAACAATTTATATTAAGCAGACATTAAGTCTTTCACTAATTTTATTATAATAACTACAAATACTGTTT